AGAGTTTACAGAACTACAGAGCTGGAAGGACCTGGGAAAACCTCAAGTCTAGCCCAGATGCAGAGAGGTCTAGGATCTCTCCCCAAGATACGCTGCCACACATTTCTGTGTCCTCCTCCTACTACTACAGGGAACAGCAGGACTTCCCAGCTAGACTCACTGTGTGCTTAGTTGCTCAGTCCCCCATTAAAGGTCCTGCTCCAGGCAACTCTGCTGTTCAAGTGACTGGTGAGCAGCACTACTCAGACCAAGGTCACAGGCCAGTTAGCTTCCCTTAGCTTCAGTTCTAGAGTGACCTGAGGAGCAGCCTCAGAAACCTAAGGCGTCCCTTCTCCCAAGGTCTTGAAAAAAAGCAATGTAAGGTGGCCATCACAAGGCTGCACACAAACTGCTTTGGTATAAGCCCACGCCCACTGCTAGAGAGGCCTCTTTTTTTTTTGAGATGGAGTTTCACTCTTGTTGCCCAGGCTGGAGTGCAATGGAGCGATTTAGGCTCACTGCAAACTCTGCCTCCTGGGTTCAAGCGATTCTCCTGCCTGAGTCTCCCAAGTAGCTGGGATTACAGGCTCCCGCCACCATGCCCAAATAATTTTGTATTTTTCGTAGAGATGGGGTTTCACCACGTTGGCCAGGATGATCTTGAACTCCTCATCTCAGGTGATCCACCCACCTCAGCCTCCCAAAGTGCTGGGATTACAGGCATGAGCCACCATGCCCGGCCTAGAGGGGCCTCAAAGTGAAGAACCGACTAGAGGTCAGCAGCATGGGCAAAGGGAGCCTCTTCCTCCCCACAAGAGAAAGACACAGCATTTCATTGGTCTATCTCCCAGCAGCCAAAACTGGATGCTACACATCAAAAGCGGCAAAGGGTTTTGCAGCAGAGACCAGGGTCTAGGTCATGTAGCTGCCCTCAGCCACAGCTCACTCACCGATGACCAACAGCACAAGGATGACAATGAGAACCACAAAGAAGGTGTTGCCATAGGACACTACCAACTCCACCAGCCGGGACTTGAAAATCTTCTGCCATCTGTGAAGACGACAAAAAGGACGGGAGCTGAAGAGAAAGCACACACACGGGCTCTAGGCTCCTGAGCAAAATGGAAATCCAGCTTTGCACTCTTCTCCAATGGCCAAATAGCCCACACAAAGTCAGCCTCAGTGGCTTGCAATTCTCTAATTTGATATCCATTCAAGAGTGTTGGAAAAAAGGCCAGGTGCGGTGGCTCACACCTGTAATCACAGCACTTTGGGAGACCAAGGTGGGTGGATCACTTGAGGTCAGGAGTGCAAGACCAACCTGGCCAACATGGCAAAACCCCGTCTCTACAAATAAAGTACAAAAATTAGCCAGGCATGGTGGTGGGTGCCTGTAATCCCAGCTACTCAGGAGGCTGAAACAGAAGAATCACTTGAACCTGGGAAGCAGAAGTTGCAGTGAGCTGAGATCGCGCCACTGCACTCAAGTCTGGGCGACAGAGCGAGACCCTGTCTCAAAAAAAAAAAAAAAAAAAGGTGCTGGTCCACGTACAGATCGAAATGTCTAGAAAACTAATCTTTTTTTTATTTTGAGACAGTCTCCCTCTGTCACCCAGGCTAGAGTGCAGTGGCATGATCTCGGCTCACTGCAAGCTCCGCCTCCTGGGTTCATGACATTCTCCTGCCTCAGCCTCCCGAGTAGCTGGGACTACAGGCGCCTGCCACCACGCCCGGCTGATTTTTTGTATTTTTTATTAGAGACGGGGTTTCACCGTGTTAGCCAGAATGGTCTCGATCTCCTGACCTCATGATCCGCCTGCCTCAGCCTCCCAAAGTGCTGGGATTACAGGCGTGAGCCACCGCACCTGGCCTGGAAAACTAATCTTAAACACAGGTAGTTGGCTGGGAACAGTGGCTCACGTCTGGAAACCCCATCCCTACAAAAAAAAAAAATATATATATACACACACACACACACACACACACACACACACACACACAAAATTAGCTGGGCATGGTGGCAGGCGCCTGTAGTCCCAGCTACTCGGGAGGCTGAGGCAGGAGAATCACTTGAACTCGGTAGGTGAAGGTTGCTGTCAGGCGAGACCACACCACTGCACTCCAGCCTGGGTGACAGAGCAAGACTGTCTCAAAATAAAAAAAAAAAAAAAAAAAAAAAAACAAAGAAACCACAGCAACAAAAAGAAAACACACTGATAGTCTCTGAAAAGGGAAACTTACTTTCCATTGTTCTCCCCTTTGTAATATTCAAAATGTCTGCCCCACACACATGTTATTTCTTTAAACTGTCTTTCCACATGATAAACCTTGGTTTGTCTATATCCCCCCCCCCCACCCTGGGTTATGATGAGATGGACCCTAGACCTTACATCATTTCCCTCCACAAATGCTTTGGGATGCAGCTCTAAGAAGAGACTTCAGAAGTCTTTACATATTGTTCAAACCAGCAAGAAGCCCTCATCATCAGGGCTAGAGATGAAAATGCCAATCACTGTAGGCAACAATATTTGTTTGAATCTGGACCCAACAAGGTAATGATTTGGCATTTGGTAGATAAATGTCTTAAATCCCTCTTATTCTGGAAGCTCCCCCTTCCCTCCCCTCTTTCATTTGCTTTTCCAATTTGCTTTGTGTAGAAATCAGATTGTCTGTCCTCTAAAGCTTCCCAGATTAAAGCTCCCTGGGGCCCTCTATCTCTGCATGTCTTGTCAACTGTACGAAGGTTTGGTTTTCTGCAAGAATCCTCCTCAGGCAGCGCTGCATACTTTCTGTGGTATCACATCAGGGATAATTTTTCATGAAAAAACAGTTTTTAAAAATACCTGTGGAGATTTGGCCTTATTTGTAATATGTGAATTTAAATAAGGACGTGTTCAGGTATTATACATAATTAAAAATTAATTTCCAATTCACTTTTAACAGGTCCTCTGTTCATTAAAAGGGAATATGGCTTCATCCTCCACAGGCTGAGTAATGTTCATGCAGCCACTGCGCAATGCCAGTGAGACTAGTTAGGACAAGAGTCACCAAATCAGCAACAACGTGACCCAGTGGTGCAAGTCTTCCGAATCCCACGCTGCCATCCCAAGACCCCGGGGGCCAAGAGTAGGCGGGAGGGCATCATTTCCAGAACTGTAACATGGATCTTCCTGCCTCTCGGGGGCATTCTGAAGACCAGAAGGCAGGGGACACAGGAAAAGGAACTGAGCAAGTCATGACGAAGCAGAACCCTGGGGAGGGTTGGCAATAACAAACACAACCCCTGCCACCCCCACCCCTGACAGGTTCTACCTGTTCCATCGGGTTCCAATTCCAGGGTCCCCCAGCTGCACACACCAGTCCCAGGGCTAGGGCACAGGGACCCTCCCGCCTAACTCGCCTGCTTGCTCCACAAGCCATACCTTTTAGGAGAAATGAAGGGAATGCAGAGAAGCAACACAACAAACACCTCCGCATAGAGGAAGGTGGCAACTGCAGTCCACTGCAGACTCATCCTGCTGCTAGAAGGTTTCCCCACAGGAAGATGTGAGCTTGTTTCCTGGCAGGGCACAGAAGGAACAGGATTTGTAAGCGCTGGGCAGCCAAGAACATCCAGTTCAGTTACCCTTCGAGGCTGGGGCCGCCACTCTCCACTCGACCCCCTGCACTTTGCTTCACAGTCTCTGACGCGCTGGCGGAAGCAGGGCTCCACTAGGCAGGGCCGCTTGGCCAGCAGCGTTCACAGGCCCCACAAACTTCCGTTCGCTGGTCAGTTACCCGCCCCCCTCCAGCACGTGTGTCAACACGTCCAGAGCGGCCTCTCCCAATGATCCCTGTCCCAGGGAGTCCGAGATTTCCGACGCCCGTTTAACTGAAAGGCGTTCTTCGGGAAGAGCAGTGCCAGAGCGCCAAGAGGAGGACGCCTCGGCACCCACTGGACGCTCCCTTCCCCGCCAGGCAGAACTCAGCCGCAGAGGCGGGCGCTCTGTTGGCCCAAATCCCCGCTACCAGGCGGGCCCAAGGCCGCATCTAGTCCAAGCGCTGCCGACGCCCCCGCCTCCCACCGTCCCCACGGCGCCCGCGGAGAGAAACCGGCACCTCCCTCGAGGCTCAAGCGGCCTTCCGCCCGGGGCCGCTTCGCCTCCGGTGGGCTGGAGGCCCACAAGAGCGACTCCTAGAGGGCAGGATTCGGGACCAAGCGCAAAAGCAGGTCTCGACCAAGCACCTCAAGGCCCCATACGGGGAAAGTTCTAGACGCAGTCTCCTCAGAAGCCAGGGGTCCTTCCAGTAGCCCTCGAGGGCCACAGCGCCCACCCAGAGCGAGAGCCGACTGCGCGCACCGTGGGCCCTGCCGACATGACCCCGGCCTGGCACACCGTCCCCGAGGCCCAGCCCGGCCGCTCCTCCAGGTGGGGCTTCACCGCCCCCCACCCCGCCCCCGAGCCCAGCTTCTAGAAGCACCGCCCGTTTTCCCCTCTCCCCTGCCCCTCACACCCAGGTCGGCTGCGGGCCCCGAGATTCCCCGGCCCCCGGCCCTCCCCGCGCCGCTCGCCTCTCTCCCTGGTCGAGGGGCCAGGGAGCCTCGGCGGTCCCGGAGCTCAGCCTGGCGCGCGGAGCCCGCTCACCGAGTTTCCCACAGTCAGCGTGCAGGCCCCGCCGCAGCAGCCCAACTCTCCCACAGTAGCCCCGGCCCCGCCCCTCATCCCGCGGCCGGAAACCGGAAGCGCCCGCCGGGCACCGCCCACTAGCCCTCGCGAGGCCCAGGAGGCTCCGCCCACCGCCGCTTCCCGCCCCGCCCCCGAGTGGAGGGCCGACGCCCCGAGCGCGAGAGGAAGCGGCGCCTGGGGCTCTGGGCGCGCGGGGAGGGGTGGAGCGAGCACGCGGGCGGGGCGGGGCTTTGGCGGGCCTGCGAGGGCCGCTTATCTAGTCCGCGCGGCCGTCCCACGTCTCTGTGGTGCGGAGAGGCCCTGCCGAGGGGCGAGAACGGGGTTGGTGGGGGACGGGCCTCGCCGAGGGGCGAGAACAGGGTGGGGCTCCCGCGCCCGGACTCCGCCCCTCGCCCCTCCTCCGCCTCCTCCCCTTCCCCCGACTCGCCCCTGGGGAGGGGTGGGTGGGGATTCTGGGCCGGTGGCGGAGTCACTGTCGCTTCAGCCAGGCTGCGGAGCGGACGGACGCGCCTGGTGCCCCGGGGAGGGGCGCCACCAGGGGAGGAGGAGGAGGAGAAGAAGGTGGAGAGGAAGAGACGCCCCCTCTGCCCGAAATCCTTCCAGGCCCTGACCTCAGGAGCCAGGGCACTGACAGGACAGGAGAGCCAAGTTTCTCCACTTGGGCTGCCCGAAGAGGCCGCGACCCTGGAGGGCCCTGAGCCCACCGCACCAGGGGCCCCAGCAGCACCCCGGGGGCCTAAAGCGACAGTCTCAAGGGCCATCGCAAGGTTTCCAGTTGCCTAGACAACAGGCCCGGGGTCAGAACAACAACCCTTCCAGCCACCTGCCTCAACTGCTGCCCCAGGCACCAGCCCCAGTCCCTGCGCGCCAGCCAGCCCAGGTGACATGCCGGTGCTCTCCAGGCCCCGGCCCTGGCGGGGGAGCACGCTGAAGCGCACGGCCGTGCTCCTGGCCCTCGCGGCCTATGGAGCCCACAAAGTCTACCCCTTGGTGCGCCAGTGCCTGGCCCCGGCCAGGGGTTCTCAGGCGCCCGCCAAGGAGTCCACGCAGGAGGCCTCCGGGGCCAAGGCCGGCATGAACCGGGTATTCCTGCAGCGGCTTCTGTGGCTCCTGCGGCTGCTGTTCCCCCGGGTCCTGTGCCGGGAGACGGGGCTGCTGGCCCTGCACTCGGCCGCCCTGGTGAGCCGCACCTTCCTGTCGGTGTATGTGGCCCGCCTGGACGGAAGGCTGGCCCGCTGCATCGTGCGCAAGGACCCGCGGGCCTTTGGCTGGCAGCTGCTACAATGGCTCCTCATCGCCCTCCCTGCTACCTTCGTCAACAGTGCCATCCGCTACCTGGAGGGCCAGTTGGCCCTGTCGTTCCGCAGCCGTCTGGTGGCCCATGCCTACCGCCTCTACTTCTCCCAGCAGACCTACTACCGGGTCAGCAACATGGACGGGCGGCTTCGCAACCCTGACCAGTCTCTGACAGAGGACGTGGTGGCCTTTGCGGCCTCTGTGGCCCACCTCTACTCCAACCTGACCAAGCCACTCCTGGACGTGGCCGTGACTTCCTACACCCTGCTTCAGGCGGCCCGCTCCCGTGGGGCCGGCACAGCGTGGCCCTCAGCCATCGCTGGCCTCGTGGTGTTCCTCACGGCCAACGTGCTGCGGGCCTTCTCACCCAAGTTTGGGGAGCTGGTGGCAGAGGAGGCGCGGCGGAAGGGGGAGCTGCGCTACATGCACTCGCGTGTGGTGGCCAACTCGGAGGAGATCGCCTTCTATGGGGGCCACGAGGTGGGGCAGGTTGGGACGCTGGGCACGGAGGGAAGCGTGTGGCAGGGAGGCCCAGGGGCAGGCAGCCGTGAGCAGTGGGGACAGTCCAGGGCGGGCTGGGGCTGATGCCAAAGGTGTGGGCAGGCCATGGGAGAGCAGGGCTGGGGTGGGCAGGGCCTTGGGCAGCCGTGGACTCCGGCGTGGCAGTGGAGAGGCAGGAAGGCTGGGTGGGGACTGTCCTGTGCTGGTTGCCTGCATGCTCCTGGCCACTTCTGCTTCCTCTCCTCCTCAAGGAGGTTGTCCCAGCCTTAGAGCTGCGATCCTAGCAGTTTGAGCCTTGAGAGGAGATGCCTGCCATTCGGGAGCGGGGACCAAGGGACGTGACCTGCTGCCTAGCCCCTCCTGGGCCCTTGGGCCCTTTGAAGGCCGGCGTCCAGCAGAGCTGGCTGGCCAAGCAGGCAGGCATTATGGGCATGACTCAGCCCAAGCGAGGTTAATGAGCAGTGCCCAGCGCAGCAGTGGGACTTGGGGTCAAGGCCACCCCCGCCTGAGCCCACAGGCCTGCCCAGCTACCAACTGGCTCAGCTGCCTTCCCAGGCCCCCAGACCAGAGATGCCGGGTCCAGGCTGCCACTGCGGCGGGACACACTTCCTGCTCCTGGCGTGGCCGCCCTTCCGCCCCGTCTGTCTCCTAGTTCCCTGGTGGGCCGGGGCGGGGCGGGCCAGGCAGGCGCTGGGAAAGGTTACTTCAGGTCAATGCTCCCTTTATCTCGCCTCAGCCCCTCCCCTTCCTCGTGCCTGGGGTTGCAGTTGCCTTGGGCCCTGCTCTCTGCGACTCAGTTTCCGTTCCCCAGTGTTTCTTGGGAGGAGGGGCACAATGGCATCCATCCCCCAAAGGCCTGTGTGTGCTCCCTGGGTCAGGTGGCCTCTTGCCCTGGGACCTTGTCTCACTGTGCACCAGCAGAGAAGCAGGCTTGTCCCCGAACTCCACAGAGCGGGGCATCCCGGGTGTGGGCCAGACTGCAGATTCAGAGAAAAGTCCCCTGGACTTCAGCCACCACTCCAGCTTCCCTCTCCTCTTTACCCGCATGCTGGGCTGCAGGGCCTTGGCAAGCAGCCGCAGCCTTGGGCGAGGCGCTTGGCACATTCCCCGCAGCTACATTGTCAGCCTTGGCTGGCACCCCTGCCAGCTCCCAGCACGAGTCTGGATTGCCGGGGTGCTTGCTTTAGGAATGGGAGATCGGGCTTGCAGGGAGCTGAGCTGTGCAGGCCGACCTGGGTGGAGGGGGCAGAAGAGAGATCACTGGCTCTTTGAAGGCCTTCATCCAGGCTAACTTCAGGAAGTAGATTACTGGTTCTTTGAAGGACTCCATCCGGGCTAGCTTCAGGAAGTAGCGCGTTGGCCAAGAGGGTTTGTTGGCCAGGGCAGGAGGGCCCGGTGTGCATTCACGGCCTGTTTGCATAGGCCTCGGCTGGAAAGCTGTGTGGGATAGGAAAGCTGTGTGATAGGACCCCTCGGGTGGCATGTGGCCCGTGGCAGTCCCACTGGCTGATGTCCCCGTGGACACTGGCCTAGGCTCAGATCAGGGCAGAAGCAGCTGACTGGCTGGAGGGCACACAGCAGAGTATTCTGTGCTTCCTGGGATTGCCTCGAGGAGGCTTATTGAAATGCACATGCACATGATCTCTTGCTTGAGAACAAAGTAAAGCTCTCTTGGTAAGTCTAAGCATCATTTACAAGAAAGTGGTTCTCCTGGCAGCTCTGCCAGTGTGGTTCAAATTCCCACACTGGTTGCCACCGTCAGGCTGTGTGGACTTGGGCAGGTCACTTTGCCTCCCTGGGCTTCAGTGTTCTGTGTACAGTGGGCACGTGAATACACATGCAATGGGACGTGGTGAGAATCAGATGCAGAGACATGAAAGCACTTGGCAAACAGTGCCAAGCTGGGCAGCTGTCATCAGATGGCTATGGGGAGGCAAGGCTGGGGCACGTGCCCCTGGACTGAGCCCAGAAATTCACAACCCCTTGGCTACCTTGCTGGGAGCACTTCCCGACACCTCCCACCTCCCCCACCTGTCTGACTGCTGCTGCCACCTCTTCTCTGCAGATGTCCCTTTCACCACCTGCTGGTGTCCTGACATAGTGGTGGCCAGTGCAAGAAGGGGAACAGAAGGACAGGGGAGGCCTACCCACTGCTGAAGGAGCGAGGTCCAGGCTCAGCAGTGGGGACATCCACTGGGGCGAGTCCTGTAGGGCCCAGCTCAGCAGCACATCCGTGCAAATTTCTCACCAAAAGGAACTATGGGAAAGTTGAGGGGAGAGGGGGCCTAAATAGGCCAAGACTGTTGAACTGAGTTTTTCAGAACCAAGAGACAGGGTCTCACTGTGCTGTCCAGGCTGGGGTGCAGTGGTGCCATCACTGCAGCTTCAAACTCCAGGGCTCCAGCGATCCTCCCACCTCAGCCTCGCGAGTAGCTGGGACTACACGTGTGTGCCACCACGCCTGGCTAATTTTTTTTTTTTTAATTATTTTTGGTAGAGACAGCATCTCACCATATTGGCCAGGCTGGTCTCCAACTCCTGGGCTCAGACAATTAGCCTCTCAAAGTGCTGGGATTGCAGGTGTGAGCTACTGCACTCAGCCCAAGAGACACTGCCTTTTGCTGTCCTGCGCTGCTCTTTGCTTAGTTTAGTGGGGGAAAAATTAGAGCTGATGGATGATCTCTCTGGGTCAGGAGGAGGGGCTAGCAGGGAGCCCAGAGAAATGGGCTCAGCAGAGGACAGAAACAAGGTGACTAGAGAGGGAGTGGAGAGGGGACGGCAGCCGCACTGTGACATCAGCCAGTCCCTTATATCCCGTCACACCTTGAGTTTGAGACCTGGCCCCACCCAATCGTAACCTCTGGCTCTCGTCCTTCTGATGGCCACCATGGCACAGCGTGTGTGAGTGGCACTCGGAGACTCTGACCATTGCCCCCATGGGAGCTGCCACTGTGCATGGCCATGAAGCCTGTCTGTGTCTGTCACCCCCTCAGGTGGAGCTGGCGCTGCTACAGCACTCCTACCAGGACCTGGCCTCGCAGATCAACCTCATCCTTCTGGAACGCCTGTGGTATGTCATGCTGGAGCAGTTCCTCATGAAGTATGTGTGGAGCGCCTCAGGCCTGCTCATGGTGGCTGTCCCCATCATCACCGCCACTGGTTACTCAGAGTCAGGTGAGACCCAGGGCTCTAAGAGGATCCAGGCCAGGGGCCTGTCCCCCATACCACTGGGTGCTGGGCTCACGAGGGCCCAGCTCAGCCGGCCCGCCTCCCACTTCTGCTGCCAGGGCTGCCGGGGCTGCCGAGGCCCTGCTGCTACCCTTGATGCTCTCAGAGGTTGGGCTTGCCTTGCCCCTCCTTGTTGCCTTTTGCCCTGCGCTCACCTCACGTCCTTTGGTACCACTCAGCCAAGCCCAGGACTGCAAGTCAAGAACACAACATACCACTTCTCCAGGCACAGATACCCTCACCCACCTGTCCCTGTCCTCAACCCAACTGTGACTTAGAGGTGGGAGGATGTGCGGAGTACCTCGAGTGAGCCCCTTTATCACTCCAGCCTTGGTTTCCTCGCCCTGAAACAGCTCTTGTAGGTTGCAAAGGGGAAAGACCTCCACCCTAAGGCGTTTTAGAGGAGTAGGAAGCCTGTTCTACCTGTTATTTTAGTGATAAGAGTAAAGATTTAGGTTTTCTGCATTCCTGTTGATTTTGTTTGTTTGTTTTATTTTCTTTTTGGTTTTTGAAACAGGAGTCTGATGTCACCCAGGCTGGAGTGCAGTGGCACGACCTTGGCTTACTGCAGCCTTGACCTCCCAGGCTCAAGTGATCCTCCTACTTCAGCCTCCCCAGTAGCTGGGACTACAGGCGCAAGCCACCATGCCTGGCTAGTTTTCATATTTTTTGTAGAGACAGGGTTTCACCATGTTGCCCAGACTGATCTCGAACTCCTGGTCAGGTGATCCTCCTGCCTCAGCCTCCCAAAGTGCTGGGATTACAGGCGTGAGCCGCCGCGCCCAGCCTGCATTCCTGTTTTGTTTCTCTACTGGATTGCAACTTCTGCATTTGATTTTTTAGTCCGTTAGTGGTTACCCTTTAAAGGATCAACACGTGGCCGGGCGCGGTGGCTCACGCCTGTCATCCCAGCACTTTGGGAGGCCGAGGCAGGCAGATCACGAGGTCAGGAGATCGAGACCATCCTGGCTAACACGGTGAAACCCCATCTCTACTAAAAATACAAAAAAATTAGGCGCGGTGGCGGGCACCTGTAGTCCCAGCTACTCGGGAGGCTGAGGCAGGAGAATGGCTTGAACCTGGGGGGCGGAGCTTGCAGTGAGCCAGGATAACACCACTGCACTCCAGCCTGGGCAACAGAGTGAGACTCCGTCTCAAATAAAAATAAAAGTTAAAAATAAAAGATCAACACGCATACTTGTTAGGTTAATCAATAGCTCCACCTCCTCCTGTACCTTAGAACACAGAAGACCCCCGTGGGGCATAGCGTCATAGCCCAGCCAAGAGTTGGATTTGTACCTAGTTTTTCCTCTTTGCTATCGCCTTATCCACACGTGATAAAACTCGCTTACACGTTTGCTGAGTTCTATGCTCACCATTTCGCTCCTACATCTCAATTTCTCTTCTATGTTCCGTTGTCTTTCTCCAGATAGACATGTTTTTAGTTTTTGTTTGTTTGTTTGTTTTTTAACTCACAACTATACTCAGGACAAACAGTCATCAGTGCTTCTAATTCTTGATTATTTTATTGTAATTCTTTGTGTTGTTTTGTTTTTTGTTTGTTTGTTTTTTGTAGAGGCAGGTTCTTGCTATGTTGCCCAGGCTAGTGTGGAACTCCTGGGCTCAAGCAGTCCTCCCACATCGACCTCTCGAAGTGCTGGGATGACAGATGTGAGCCACCGCACCTGGCCTGTTGTAATTCTTGATTATTTCTGTTGCAAATGTTTCTATTTCACCCTTATTCCGAAGCTAAAGTTGAGTTGCGCAATGGAGTCTAGGTGGACAATTCTTTTCTCTCAGCCCTTTCACAATGTCTTACTGTCTCCCTGCTTCTTCTGTAGCTGCTGACAAATTGTCCTCCCTGAGTACCCTGTGTTTTTTCTCTGGGTGCTTTGATCATTTTCTTTCTTTTTGGCATTCTGCAGTTTCACTATGACATGTTTAGATGTCAGTTTTTGTTGATTCTGCTTGAGACTTGTTATATGTCCTTTGAATATTCAGGTTTTTCAATCATTCTGGAAGATTCTCAGCTATTAGCTTTTGAGATATTGTCTGACTCTCATTCTTTTATCCCGTTCTTCTAGAACTGGCAGCCAGCGCTGAACTTCTGACTCTCTTCGTTGCGTCTTTTGGTTTCTGTTTACTGTTTCCCATCTCACACTGTGCTGAATTCTGGGGATGCCCTCAGGCTTTCTTCCTGCTTGCTCATTTGCCAGTTCACCAGTTTTCTTTTCGGCCATGTCTAATTGGAATTTTGTTCACATTTCAGTGGCTGTTTCTGTAAGTTCTATTTCATTCTATTTCAAATAGAAATTTGAAAATGGATATTTCCTTTTTCAAGTAGAAATGTCAGGCTGTTTCTGTGTCTTATTTGCTCATCTTTTTGACTGCTCCTTTTATGCTGTGTATCATGTTAGTCATACTTACCCCACCGTCTCTATCCGATGGTTTGGTTAGCTTCAGTTCTTGGGAGTCTCATTCACCTGTCTTCTGTCTGCTGGTCCTCACTCATGGTGGATCATTTCCTTGTGGGTTTTGCAACAGAACTTCTATAGGGATTGGTATGACCTCAATGGAGGGTGTAAGTCCGTATTTCTTTCTGTTTTGGCCAAGCACTCCAGGGTAAGCAGTTGGAGGCCGTTAGTTAGTGTGGAGGGGATGGTTCCTGAAATGAGAGGTGGTTTCATTTGAATTCATTTGAACTCCAGGCACAGGCACATTGTTACAAATTCTTAGAGGAGGCTTTTTGTTCATTGCTCATAGAGCCCAGGCTAAGCAAAGAAAGCTTCCTGGTCTTTGCCCTGCCTGCCTCTGGGGCTTTCAAAGGATCACCTGGCTGCCTGCTTCTCTTTGCTCCCAGGAGTTTTCCTTGCTTTCCATCAAGCTTGGCTCTGCTTGAAATAGTGTCATAGTTTTTACACAGTTTGGTAGGAAGAGGGTTTTCAATTTATAAACAGAAGTCTGATTCTCTCCCTGTTTCTGTTTCCACCTCGGGGCTTCCATGCCCTCAGCTGTCTGTGTCGTCCTCTGGGTGACTCACCAAGAGGAAGGATCAGCCTTGATGCTGGCGTGGGTGCCTAGCCCAGTCAGCGCACCTAGCCCCAGGCACCGAGGCAGCCCATGAAACAGCACCTGCAGCTGCTTCGTTCCATGGCTGCCACTGATTGCATCAGGCTGCTCCCTGCCCTGAAGGCCTAGGACTTTTCTGAGCCTCTGCTGTGCCAGGCTTTGTGGGCTCCTGGCCCTGCTCTGCTGGCCCTCAGAGCCAGCAGCCTTTGAAGGCTGTGAAGCGCTCCCTTTCCCCTGGCTTGATTGGTTCTGTCCTGTGGCCTTCCGTTTTTTGGGGGGGTTTTTTGAGATGGAGTCTTACTCTGTCTCCCAGGCTGGAGTGCAGTGGCACGATCTCGGCTCATTGCAACCTCCGCCTCCTAGGTTCAAGCAATTCTCCTGTCTCAGCCTCCCAAGTAGCTGGGACTATAGGTACACACCACCATGCCCTGCTAATTTTTGTATTTTTAGTAGAGATGGGGTTTCGCCATGTTGGCCAGGCTGGTCTTGAACTCCTGACCTCAAGTGATCCATCTGCCTTGGCCTCCCAAAGTGCTGGGATTATAGGCATGAGCCACCGTGCCTGGTCTTATGGCCTTCTTATTTCCCCAAATGCCAGACCTGCTCTGTCTTGGGGCCTGTGCCAGGAGCACTCTTTACTCTGCTGCCCTGTGGCACAGCCCACCTAGGCAAGGCCCGACCTACCTACCACCACCTTTCCTGTCTCCTTCCCTGCCTCATTGCTCTCCCAAGCACTGAACACCCCGTCAGTGGCACTTTTCTCTCTCCCTGCCATGGACTGCAAGCCCCATGGAGGGCAGGGATTTTTGTCTTTGTCCCTGCTATGTCCCCTGCACCGGGTGGCTAGTGAGGGCTCCAGGTGCTTCAAGGAGGTGCAGCGTGCTGGTTGGGGAAGATTTAGATAAGCTTTGCTGGGCTGGCGTGCAAGGCAGGTGGGCTCAGGAGATGGGCAGGGCCTGTGGCTCCCACTCCAACCCAGAGGCCTTGCTCTGTCCAGCTCCAGGGCCCTGGCCTTAGTCGCCCAAGGCTCCAAGAGAACCTGCAGAGGGCAGCTGGTTCTGCGCCAGGATGCCCTAGGCACAAAGACTTGCAGACCCTTCCCTTTGTCCACAGAGACTGTCCAGCTCTCAGAATACCTGGGGAGGAGGGCTGTGTCCTTAAGAGCACGGTGGGAAGGAAGGTCCAAGGCCTTCAACCTTTAGGATTAATGTCCCCACCCTGCCAGCCCAATCTAGTTCCCTGGTTTCCCAGGCCAGGCCCCTTTCCACCCTGCATGGCCCTGAGCTGACTCTACGTTTCATGTCCTCCCCCAGCCCCCAGCCAATGATCCCTGAGGCTTCCCCCTCAGGATCACACACACCCCTGGATAGAGTCCTCAGGTCCTTCACAGGACCTTCCCACCACCTCAGCCACACCCCAGCACCCTCAGAGGCAGCCTTCACCCTTGCTCCCCACCTCTGCTCCTGTGGGGACTCTAAGGATCAAGAAACTGAGAGGGCCATTGACGAGGGTCAAGGGTGCTGCCACGGGGCCCTAGAGTGTGACAGAAAAGCAAGTTAAGACAGGAGCAGCTCCTGGGAGAAACAGACACCAAACAATATGGCTGCTGGCCCAGAGGTCAAAAACCATGGTGTAGAGGTCAGGAAGTGGGACATTAGGCTGGGCGCGGTGGCTCACGCCTGTAATCCCAGCATCTTGGGAGGCCAAGGCGAGCGGATCACCTGAGGTCAGGAGTTTGAGACCAGCCTGGCCAACATGGTGAGACCCCATCTCTACTGAAAATACAAAAAAATTAGCTGGGCTTGGTGGCAGGCGCCTGTAATCCCAGCTACTTGGGAGGCTGAGGCATAAGAGTCACTGGAACCTGGGAGGCAGAGGTTGCAGTGAGCCAAGATCACACCACTGCACTCCAGCCTGGGCAACAGAGCAAGACTCTGTCTCAAAAAAAAGAAAAGAAAGAAAAAAAAAGAAAGTTGGTGTTTCAAAGCCAAACAGCCCTGGTTGTTGGATGACAAAGTTCAGATATTCCCCAGGAGGGGCGACATCAGTGGTGCAGGACAGAGGAAGGAGCTGGTTGTACCCAGAAACAAAGCGAGATGCCTGCTGGTGCATTTTAAAAATCAATGTTATTGAGATGTAATTAACATACCATACAATTCATCCTTTTCCATGTACAATTTAAATTCATTCACAGAGTTGTGCAGCCATCACCACTAACTCCAGAATGTTTTATTTTTATTTTATCCCCCAAAGAAACCCCAGACCCATGAACAGTCACTCCTCATTCCCTCTCTCCAGCCCCTGGCACCCACTCATCTGCTTCCTGTCTCTGTGGATTTGCCTATCTGGACATGTCCTAGAAATGGAATCATGTGCTCTGTGGCCTTTTGTGACTACCTTCCTTCACTGAGCATCATGGTTTCAAGATTCGTCCATGTCATAAGATGAATCAGTCCTTCATTCCTTTTCATAGCTGAATAATATTCCATTGTGTACATAGACCACAATTTCTTTATCCATTCATCCATTGATGGACATTTTGGGTTTCTTCATGTTTTGGCTATTGTGAATAACACTGCTGTGAACATCCATGGACAAGTCTGTATGTGCACAGATATTTTCGTTTCTCCTAGGTGTATAGCTAGGAGTGGAATTGCCAGGTCACACAGTAACTGGACAGTTCACTTTTTGAGGAGCTGCGAGACCGTTCTCCACAGTGGCTGCCCCATTTTACCTTTCCGCCAGCAGTGTTGGAGGGTTCCACTATTTCATTCTGGCTAGCACTGGTTGTCATCTCCTTTGTGTTCTAGCCACCTAGTGGGTGGGAGGTGGTATCTCTTGGTGGTTTTGATTTGCATTTCCCTGATGACTAATGACGCTGAGCCACTTTTGATGTGCTGAGTGGCCATTTGTATGTCTTCTTTGGAGAAATGTCTGTTCACGTCCTTCGCCCATGTGTGATCGGGTTATCTCCGTCGTTGAGTTAACCTGGATACTGCACCCACATCAGATGTGTGGTTCACCAGTCCAGAGTTTTCTCCCAGTCTGTAGGTTGTCTTTTTCACTGTCTCGATGTTGTCCTTTGGTGCACAAAAGTGTTGAGTTGGATGAGGTTCAGTTGATGTGTTTTTCTCTTGTTGCTCATGCTTTTGGTGTCCTAGTGAAGGAACTGTTGCCATATCCAAGGTCGTGAAGCTTTATCCCATTTTCTTCTAAGAGTTTCATGGTTTGGGCTACGCTACACATGAGCCTATGATGTGCTCTGGGTTGGTTTGTATGTATGGTGTGAGGAGTCCCTCTCTTGCACATGGAGAGAAAGAGAGAGAGATCTGGTTGCCTTGGCACCATCTGAAGAAGAGCCTGGCCTTTCTCTCCAGCAGCTCATTGTTAACTTTCCACTGTCTCTGCCCCTCCCCGCCCCGCCACCCACCCCTCTGGGGCTTTGCAGCTGCAGAGGCCGTGAAGAAGGCAGCCTTGGAAAAGAAGGAGGAGGAGCTGGTGAGTGAGCGCACAGAAGCCTTCACTATTGCCCGCAACCTCCTGACAGCGGCTGCAGATGCCATTGAGCGGATCATGTCGTCGTACAAGGAGGTACCTCTGGCCCAGCCCCACCCTTGCCATCCTTGCCATGCTCCTCTCCCTGCAACTGGCAAGGGCTGAGCCAGGGTCACCCTCCCTCAGGTGACGGAGCTTGCTGGCTACACAGCCCGGGTGCACGAGATGTTCCAGGTGTTTGAAGATGTTCAGCGCTGTCACTTCAAGAGGCCCAGGGAGCTGGAGGACGCTCAGGCGGGGTCTGGGACCATAGGTCGGTCTGGTGTCCGCGTGGAGGGCCCCCTGAAGATCCGAGGTAAGGCTGTCCCCTCCTTATGAGTGACCCCGCCCCTGCTGCTACTGCAGATGCTGACCTGCTGTCCCAGCTCCTCCCATTCCTGCTCCCTCACTCAGGGACCTCCGTGCGCTTCTGGCCCATCCCAGTCCACCCAGGACTGGAGGGCTGCCCAGCAGGGTCTTTGAGGACTTCGGCCTGGTCGAGCTGGGCCCCTGGAGGGTTTCCTGGGGAGAGAAAGTTCCAGTCAGTGTGTCAGCCCCTGGCTGCCGTGGGAGGCAGGTGCTGCAGAAGTGGGTGGCGGCCCAGGGCACCGTACTAGACACTGAGGGAAGAGTTCAGCTTGTTGGAAAACCTGGCTGTGTTCCCTAGGGGCCCTGGACCACAGGCTACTGGTGGGAAACCAGCTGGCATGCTGCCGGGGGCACGCAGACCCCCCCCAGAATGAAGAGGGGTTGCCACCACTCCTTCCCCTCCCCACCCCCCGCCGTACTCTCTCTGCAGGCCAGGTGGTGGATGTGGAGCAGGGGATCATCTGCGAGAACATCCCCATCATCACGCCCTCAGGAGAGGTGGTGGTGGCCAGCCTCAACATCAGGGTAGGTCCAGCAGGGAGGGCGCCAGCCACGCACATATGCAAGCCTCAGCCCTTGGTTCCCGCCTGTCTGTGCTGGCAACAGCCATTGTCCCTAGATCTACGTGGCAGGTGGGCCAAGGTCAAGGTGAGAGACCAACGTGTCTCTGACTGTTCATCCTGGGACAACAGAGGCGGATAAGAGAGACCAGTGATACCAGGATTGGCCAAGGTTCACCCCAGCGTTCCTGGCCCTATCATCTGATGCCAGCTCCCCATACTCCTAAGAAAGCCAAGACCCGGGCGGGGGGCTCTGCTTCAAACCTTGCCACTCGACCTCCCTGGGAAGGCCACAGATTACCTGTGTCCCCAGCCAGGGGTTTAGATGGGGCTGGGGAGCAATGGAGTGAGGGGGAGACTGGGGTGGAGGGACAGGTAGAGAAGTGACAAGGAATCACTCATTCATTCATTCATTTAACCAATATGCCCTGAACTCTGAGCTGGGCACCAGAAACCTGAGGTAAATCAGGAGCCCTGCACTCAGGGAGTCCTCACTGTGGAGGGGCACTAAAGTGTTACAAAGGTCTCCAGGTGGACAGCTGTTCAAGGGACAGTGGGGATCACAAGAAGAGTGGTCAAAGTCCCTCGGGGTGGTGGGGGTGGGATGAAGCCTTGCCCAGGAGTCGCTGCGAGCAAGTGGGCAGGCAGCTGACGGTAGAGGCCGTGGGCCTGAGGGGCAGCTCACACAGGAGAAAGCAGACAGGAGGGGCATGCCAGGGAGGAGGGGCGTGCCAGGGAGGAGGGGCGTGCCAGGGAGGAGGGGCCAGCACAGGTGGTTACCCCTCACCGCCGGCAGTGGCCACTCCTAGGATATCGGGGGAGCTGATCACCAGTGAGTCTGAGGAGGGTAGTTTCCAGGCTGGCCCCAGGCAGCACAAGCAGGCAGGGGCAGCAGGCAAGCTCACAGGGCCCCTGCACACCGGGCCACAGCTGCTCAGGGAGCCAGGTGTGCAAGATGGGGCAAGGCCCAGGCCCGGCCCCTCAGGAGGGGACAGTCAGGTGGCTGCATTAGCATCCTGTGGCTGCGGTCACAAAGCGTTACAAACTTTGAGTGGCTTTCCCAGCAGAGATGGCCTCTCTCCCAGCTGGGGAACGGCAGTCCGAGAGGAAGGCGCAGGCGGGGCGGGCTCCTGCCGAGTACCGAGAAGGCGCCTCCGCTCGGGGCCTCTGTCCCAGCTTTTGCTCTGCTGACCATCTGCGGGCTTCCTTGGCTTCTGCCACGGCAGGTTGGCCTCAGCCTCTGTCTCCACACAGCACTCTCCCTCTGGGTGTGTCCGTGTCTCCATCTGCCCTGTCATGACATGGGTCACATTGCATTAGGGCCCACCCTTCTGCAGAATGACCTCATCCAAACCTAATTCGTCACGTCCGCAACGACCCTGTTTCCAAATCAGCTCACACTCCAAGGTAGTGGGGATTAGGGTTCCCACATAGGAATTTCAGAAGACACAGTTCCGTCCATGACACTGCCTGAGGTAAGCTAAAGACCACGCCCTCAAGTCTTCCCAGGAGCCCTGTGTAGCATTGTTGTTGTTACCATGGACTTCACTGACTCCAGGCCCCTGGCCTCCTCCCTGCACACAGCCCACCCCCCCCAGCCTGGCTGGCATTTTCCCAAAGTAGACCTTTCCTAGCTCCAGTGAGGACCATGGAATCAGTGAATTGAGGGGCCTGGGGTCCATGATGCAGAGCCCAGGGGCCACTGTGGCATCTCTGGGTCATTCTGGCACCTGGGAAGGCAGTGGGTCTGTACTGTCAGTCTAGAGCCATAAAGAAAGTACCTTTTGGGCCGGGTGTGGTGGTTCATGCCTGTCATCCCAGCACTTTGGGAGGCCGAGGTGGGCAGACGCTTCAGCCCAGAGTTCAAGACCAGCCTGGGCAACATGGCAAACACCGTCTCTACAAAAATTTTTAAAAATACAAAAATAAGCCAAGTGTGGTGGCCGTGCCTATAGTTCTAGCTACTTGAAAAGCTAAAGTGAGAGGATCTCTTGAGCCCAGTAGGTTGAGCCTGCAGTGAGCCATGATCCCACCACAAGGCCCTGTCTCAAAAAGAAAAGAAAGAAACTGCCTTTTGTCCCCAGTGACTCAGGAGGCCAAGGTGAGAGAATTGCTTGAGTCCAAGAGTTTGAGACCAGCCTGTGCAACATAGCAAGACCCCGTCTCTAAAAAAACATTTAAAACTTAGCCAGGCATGGTGGCGTGCATCTGTAGGCCCAGCTACTCAGGAGGCTGAGGTGGGAGGATGACTTGAGCCGAGGAGTTGGAGACAGCAGTGAGCTGTGGTCACACCACTGCACTCCAGCCTGGGCGACACTGAGATCTCGTCTCTTGAAAACAAAGTGCCTTTCAGGGCAGTTCCTTAAAGGGGGCTGAGAGTTGACCCTGCACTTAGATTCCTGGTGAAGTGGAAGTTGGATGGGACTGAGGATGGCGCTGGCTGTGTTGAAACACACCTATTCGTTCAGCTGTGGCAGAATAGGCCCTTCCTCTTGTGCTGGACCCACGTTCTCTGGGCATGTCAGGGCCTGAGGACAGGGCCAGGTCTTGTCCATTCCTATGTCCTGGGCCAGGCATTTAGTGAGAGCTAAATTTAGCTAGGGCCGTGGATGCTGGACCCCATCCCCCAGGCCCTGCTGTCCTTTATCAACAGATCAAGAATGGCCCGCCTGCTGGCCTCGGGCATTGGGAGCCTCTCAAGGCTGGGCAGGAGGCCATAGGGTACAGGAAGGAGCCTGCGCTCTCTGGCGTCAGTGGCTGTTGCCCCTGCAGGTGGAGGAAGGCATGCATCTGCTCATCACGGGCCCCAACGGCTGCGGCAAGAGCTCCCTATTCCGGATCCTGGGTGGGCTCTGGCCCACGTACGGCGGTGTGCTCTACAAGCCCCCACCCCAGCGCATGTTCTACATCCCGCAGAGGTGAGGAAGCCCATGCGTCTCTCCTGCACCTCTTCCTGCCTGTGCGCTCACGCATGGCTTCCTGCAGAGGCCCAGGAAGTGGTGAAGAGTCAGCACCTCAGGAGAGGACACCGAGGCACTGTCCCCAGAGCCAGAGACAGGCTATGGTTCCTGCTCCCTCCAAACCCGCCCAATCCACTGCCCTGTTTTGGATCTGTGTGGAGTGTGTGCACGGGCGGCGACGTGAGTGTGTGGGTGTGTGTGAGCGTGGCATGTGGATACTGCCTGGGAGGCGCAGAGTATCTTGGGAGAGGCAGGGCCAGCCCTTCCCTCTATGGACACCCAGCTTTCCCACAGGCCCTATATGTCTGTGGGCTCCCTGCGTGACCAGGTGATCTACCCGGACTCAGTGGAGGACATGCGAAGGAAGGGCTACTCAGAGCAGGACCTGGAAGCCATCCTGGACATCGTGCATCTGCACCACATCCTGCAGCGAGAGGGAGGTAGGAGGCCTGGGGCTGGCATCCGCCTGTTGTCCCACCGTGGCCTCTCCCTTGGCCTCCAGGGAGTGAAGATTATCTCAACATCCAGGAGTCTAAAGTGCCAGGTGCCACAGGGGCAGGACAGAGGGTGCTGCCTCTAAGGCCTGCCTACCAGGGAGGACCAGCACCACACAGATGGCCCCAGGTGGCATGGGTGCTCTAGAGAAGGGGGCACCTAACAGGGATGTGCACCTCATTGGGGGACCCAGGATACCCTCTCCCAGAGAAAAGAGGTCTGAGCTGAGCCCTGCAGAATGCTGAGCGGTTACCCTGTCGGGGAGCCAGGGACAGCAGGGCGAAGTGCGGCCCACAGGCTTGGTGGCTCGAGAGGCTAGCTCACAGAGTCCCCTCCGGACCAGACGGGAGCCTAGGCTTTCCCTGAGCAGGATCAGACGCTCTTGGAAGGACCATGGGGCGGTGGGCAGGGGCAGCCTGGGAGGGGCAGGCACATGTGTGCAGTGATGGCTACTGTCAGGAGGTTTGTGCAGACGCTTGGAGGGGGCTGGGGCCAGCAGAGTCGGGTGGATTCTGAGATGAGTTCACGGAAAAGGAGGCCAGACTAAGCTGTTGTCTTGTCCTGGGCTTATCAAGGAATGCTGCTTGTTCACAGTGTCCATCGTGCTGGGAGAGCAGAGGAGGAGAGGGGGGTGCGGCTGCAGGGACATGGTAGGAGTGTTTAGTTCTCTCTTTGAATTCTGATCCTCTGGGTTCAGCTTCTAGCCCCCAGTGCTGGGTGCAAGATTGCCCTGGGCAAGGGCCTCGCCTTGCTGGGGCTCCCCTTCATGGTTCAAGGGCACAGGCACCAAGCCCTGCCTTGGTGGCAACATGAGAAGAAGTGGCTCCTGCAGGAAATGGCTGGGGTGTTGTCACCTGCCTGTGGAGGAAGCGGGGACCCAGGTGGCGATGGCAGTGGAGCAGCCCCTGGCGCGGCCCTGCTTCTTGCTCCTGCTGCCCTCAGCCTGGGAGCAGTGGCCCCTCCCGCCTCTGTGGCAGCCTGAATGCCCAGGGCCTGTGGCCGGCCAGCATGAGCCGTTAGGATGGAGTTGAGCTGCGAGGAACAGAACCGGCCTCCCTGCAGTAGTGGCTAAGATCGTTTGTGAGTTTATTCTGCTGAGCTGTTAGGTCCCAAGAGAGCCAGGCCACAGTTGCCGGGGCTGGCCCTGCTCTGTGAAGGTCCCAGGGCTCTAGGCTTTTCTACCAGGTCACTCTGCTGTGTGTGACCTCCATTTCCAAAGTCACCTCATGATACAGGGGGGCTGCTGCAGCCCTCACATCATGTGCTAGGCTGTAGGATGGAGGAAGTAGAAGGGAAGGGGCAAAAGGTATGTGCCTTCTGTCTTTTAAGGAAGGTTCCAGAAGCCACCATATTGAATACTTACAGTTACATCTCATTGGCCACAACTTAGTCTCATGCTCACACCTCACCACAAGGCCACCTGGGAAGCGTAATCTCTATTCTGGGTGGCCATACACCCTGTCGCCACTTCCAGTCCTGGGCCGCAGGGGAAGGCAGCATGCCCGAGAATACAGGAGGGGCCACTTCTGCCACAGTGCCCCGGCCCAGTGGAGCAGCCAACTCACCTGCTTGTTCAAGCAGCCCACTCGAGCCTTGCCAAAGTGCTGGCACAGGGCAGTGACAGGAGGCCCAACCCCTGTGGGTGGTGACAAGCCCCTGGTCTGGGGAGAGCACTGTGGCAGCTCTGGGGCTCTGTGCCAGGGAACTGTGTGGGTGCCCTGGGGCTGCCATAAACCGCAGGGGTGGGTCATCTCCTGCATCCAGCAGCCTGAGATCCAGGTGCCAGCAGGGTGGACTCCTTCTGGGTGTCGTGACAGAAGGATGTGTTCCAGGCCTCTGTCCTTGGCTCACAGATAGCCCACTTCTCCCTGTATATCTTCACCTCATGTTCCCTCTATGCACATCCTCTGCCCGCGTACCCCCTTTTTATGAGGACACAGTCATATTGAATTAGGGTCTACTCTGATGACCTCATCTTAGTGTGATCACCTCCATGAAGGCCCTGTCTCCAAATAAGGTCACACTGAAGTGCTGGGGCTGGGACTCCACCATATCTCTTCTAGGAGAAGGCATGATTCCAGTCCCCACTCCTCCATGATTAATGCCTGGCAGACGGACAAGGACACAGAGGCACAGTGGCCCTGTCATCACAGCCAGCTCATTCCCACAGCTCCCCCAGCTCCCCGGCCGGCCCCCAGGGCTGGGTGCTGCTGGTGGAACTGAGCAAAGACCCTTGCCCCCGCCCAGGTTGGGAGGCTATGTGTGACTGGAAGGACGTCCTGTCGGGTGGCGAGAAGCAAAGAATCGGCATGGCCCGCATGTTCTACCACAGGTGAGCACTCTGGGCTCCCTGGGGTCCCCTGGAAGGGGAAGTAGCAGCCATGGGGAGGCCTGGGCTCAGTGGAGCCTGAGCTGGGCTGAGGTACTGGGCCCTGGAGGGTGCACAGACTCTCCTCTCGGCCCGGACCCCCAGGCCCAAGTACGCCCTCCTGGATGAATGCACCAGTGCCGTGAGCATCGATGTGGAAGGCAAGATCTTCCAGGCAGCCAAGGACGCGGGCATCGCCCTGCTCTCCATCACCCACCGGCCCTCCCTGTGGTAGGTGCCCTCTCCCCCTGCCTGGGGTCGGTGGGAGTGGCAGCCTGAGGGGAGGACGTGGCCTGGTGAGCCTAGCAGCAGCAGGCAGCTCTCATCAGCAGCCCTCGTGCCGTGCCCCTGACCCTGTCCCTCTCCTGGCCAGGAAGTACCACACACATTTGCTACAGTTCGACGGGGAGGGTGGCTGGAAGTTCGAGAAGCTGGACTCGGCTGCTCGCCTGAGCCTGACAGAGGAGAAGCAGCGGCTGGAGCAGCAGCTGGCAGGCATTCCCAAGATGCAGCGGCGCCTCCAAGAGCTCTGCCAGATCCTGGGCGAGGCCATGGCCCCAGCACAGGTGCCGGCACCTAGCCCACAAGACCCTGGTGGCCTCCAGGGTGCCTCCACCTGACTCGGCCCTCCCCGGCCCCTGCCCCGCCCCCAAGCTCAGATCATATGAAGGAGACAGCAGCACCCACCTGCGCATGCACCCTGCCCCTGCATGCCTGGCCCCTCCTAGAAGACCCTTCCCGCCCTTGGGAAAGTAGATGTGGAGGGTGACGCCCTGCATAACCCCCACCCTGTCCCTCCCACTCCCTGGGGGGCTGTTCCACAGTGACTGGGCCCTGTCCAGGGCAGTGAGTCTTCTACTTTGATCTGTGGAGGAAGCTGGGGCACGGGGGCCCAGTGCTGGCCACAGCAGCACAGCCGAGCCCCAGGAGCCACTCAGGCCACAGCCCCTGGTGCTGCAGGTGGCCTCCCTCCAGAGACTCGAGTCCCCATGATTCCCTCCTCGTCAGTCTCTCAAAGACCCCATGATCCCATCCCCTGAGGGTGGCCAGCCAAGGCTTCTGTCCCATGGGATGCCATAAAAGCCGCCCAGTGGGACCCATGGTCACACAGAGCCCCTCACCTGCATCCTCTCCCCAACAAGAGCCCTGAAGAGCCCACGGGAGAGGGACGCACAGCACTGCCTGCCGAGCGAGAATGTAGCCGCAGCCCCCTCGGCCTCTCACCTCTTCTTTCTACAGCCTAATTTATTGGATTCCCTATTCGTAGCCATCTCCATGGCCAATGTGACTACCCTGCCAGCAGCGGGGGTGGCCCAGCCTCTGAGTCCCATGGGGCCCTGGCTCCCACTGGTGCCAAACCCAGCCCCTGTGGCCGTCACCCCGCCAGCCTACACTGCCAGCCGCCACCGGAGCACACGGGCCTCTGCTTGCCAGCCAGGAGTGCGGACACCATGTTCCCAGCTCAGTGCCAAAGAGGGGTCACCAGGGGGAGCTGTCTATAGAGCCAGCACCTGCCCGAGAGACCCCACCGCCACCGTGTGCCTTTCCCAGGCCCTCAGCCCTCGGGCTGGGCGCCACCCCCAGTCCCCCCAGTAAAAGCCTCCATTGGCAAATGCAGTCCTTCCTCCCTGCCTCGGAGTCTGGTGGTGTCTGCTGCGGGTCTCGGAGAGATGGAGGAGAGGGAGTGGGTTGCCTGTGGGAGAAAGAGTGAGTTTGGGAAAGGAGTGGGCCTGACCCCCAAGCCCTTCTGTGAGGGAAAGTCACCAGAAGACACGGTCCAGCATGTCCTCCGCCAAGCCTCACACCAATGCTCTTAGGGTTCCCGTGACGGTGGCGGGGCAGAACCTGCAACAACATTGCACAGAAATACTGGCTGAGCCCAAATAGGACTAGGGGAGGGGATCATGCTGGTCCCTATGGGAGGAGCACGAAGGCAAGAGAAGGGATGTCTAAGCTGCCACACAGGGTGCTGCTGGCTCTTCTAGGGAGAAGGGGCCATTTGTGCAGGGACCTGGGGGGAACCAGGAGCACAGCACAGGGTGTTCGTGCTGCATGCAGGGGAAGGGAGGGCTGCAGCCGGCGGGCCTTGGAGGCCACACTACAGAGGCAGGACTTAGCCCAGAGGCCACCGAGGCCCTGTCAGCAACAGGGAAGCAGTGTTGAGTTCTGCAGGCTGCATGTGAGGGTGGCCGGTGGGAATGGGGTGCAGCAGCCCACCTGGCCTCAGAGGCACTAGAACTGAGAACAGCTGTACGGCCATACCTTTATGCATGGATGGCCATAGCCTCCCAAAGGTGGGGCAGCCTGAGTGCTCGTCAACAGACAAATGGACAAACAGCCTGTCCATAAGGCGCAGTGCCATTCCGCCATAACATGACGGATAGACCTCGAAGAGTTCATGCTGGGTGAAAGAAGCCAGACACAAACGTCCAGAATAGGCTCATCGGGACAGAAAGCAGACAAGTGGGTGTCAAGGGCTGGGGCAGGGGAAGGAAAATGGGGCGGGGGTCCTTTTAAAAATATATATCTAGAGAGAGTATGTATTTTTTATTTTTTAATGAGACAGGATCTCACCCTGTCACCCAGGCTGGAGTGCAGTGGTGCAGTCATAACTCACTGCAGCCTTGATCTCCCCGGCTCAAGCAATTCTCCTGCCCCAGCCTCCTGAGCAGCTGGAACTACAGGCGTGTGCCACCATACCCTGCTAATTTTGTGATTTCTTTTGTAGGCAGGATCTCACTATGTTGCCCAGGCTGGTCTCAAACTGCTGAGCTCAAGCGATTGTCCTGCCTCAGCCTCCCACAGTGCTGGATTATAGGCATGAGCCACCCCACCCAGCCTCAGATTTCTTTTTATTGTGAAGAAAATGTTCGGGAACTATAGAGCATACTAAATGCCACTGAATTGTGCACTTTAAAGGGATTGATTGTATATTTTGTGAATATCACCTCAAAAGCAGATAGATGGTAGATGATTGATGGATAAATTGATACATAGATATATACATGTATAGACATGATTGATATAGATGATTGATAGATGATGGATGATTGATGGGTGATAAGTGATAGATAAAAGATAATACATGATAGATACATGGATAGATAGATGAATAGAGAGAGAGAGATGATTTAAAATTTTTTTAGAGATGAGATCTCACTATGTTGCCCAGTCTGGACTCAATGTGCAAGCATCAAGCAGTCCTCCTGCCTCAGCCTCCTGAGTTGCTGGGACTACAGCCACATGCTACTGTGCCTGGTGATAGATAAATGATTGAAAGATAGACATGATAGAGGCATAAATGATAGACAGATGGAGAGACATGATAACAGGTAGATAGGAAGATACATGGGATAGATCAATGATTGATTATACAGATAAATGATATAGATTGATAGATTATTCATTATAGACTGATAGGTGGATAGTTGATTGATAGATGATCGATTGATTGGTTGGTTGGTTGATGGAGAGAGAGAAGCAAGCATAGCCATTGCAGCCACCCAGACAAGACATGCTGAGGCCTGAAGTTCCAGAAGTTTCGAGCAGTTAGAAGAACTCGACAGGCATGGGGGCAGCTTCTTCAGGGAGTGGAGGGGGCAGCAAGGTTCCACTGGGTTCTGGTTTGGAAGGTTAGGTGAGTGACAGCACCCTTGGTGGACAGAGGCAGCTCCAAAGGAGGGGCAGACCTGGGGAGCAGGCGCAGCCTGAGGGGATGGTGCACAGGCAGTTGGTTCAGAGCTTGGTGCTCCTCAGTGGGACGTGGGTCAGCAGGGAGGCCAGTGGTCATTGAAGTTTGGATGGAGACAGCCTGGCTGAGGGGAGGGGCATGCTTGGCATCTCATTTAGGGGACAGGAGGTAGACTGTTTACCTGCATTTTGAGATTAGGATTTATTCCTGATCCCAGGAGGTGGCCGATTCGGAGGGCTGGAAGCTGTTCCTCCATTCTGACGATTGTGTAAGTCGCCCATGCTTGATCATAAACCCCTTTTGTTTATTTTTGACACATAGCTGGAATGGCTCTAATTGCTACAGATAGGAGGAGACACATCTGGCAAAGACCATGCAAAAGGAAGCTAGTGGAGAGAAGCTCATATCGTACAAACTAGGCTCCAGGGCAAAATCATTATTAGGATTAAAAGAGGTTGCAGCATACTGATGAGTATTCATTCCAAAGCATTCACTGGTGGGGGAGGGGTGGGGGAAAATAATAAATACATAAATAAGTAAATTATTTTAAAAGAAGTATTAGCGGCTAGGCGTGGTGGCTCACGCCTGTAATCCCAGCATTTTGGGAGGCCAAGGCGGGCAGATCACCTGAGGTCAGGAGATCGAGACCAGCCTGACCAACATGGTGACACCCCATCTCTACTGCAGTACAAAATTAGCCAGGCGTGGTGGCTCATACCTGTAGTCCCAGCTACTTGGGAGGCTGAGGCAGAACTGCTTGAACCTGGGAGGAGAAGGTTGCCATGAGCCAAGATCACGCCATTGCACTCCAGCCTGGGTGACAGGAAAAAAAATAAGCATTAACCATTCTGATCTTGTGTGCCTTCATAATGATAGAGCCTCAAATGACTACAAAACAAGAAAAGGAAAAATTAATTTAAAAAAAGCACATTCTCCACGCAGGAAATTATACCACCTCTCACTGGAACTGCTGGTCTAAGCAGACTCAATTAGTAAGAATGTAGAAAAATTGGGCCAGGCATAGCGTCTCATGCTTGTAATCCCAACACTTTGGGAGGCGAAGGCAGGCAGATTACTTGAGGTCAGGAGTTCGAGACCAGCTTGGCCAACATGCTGAAACTAAAATAAAAAATATAAAAATGAGCCAGATGTGGTGGCTCGTGCCTGTAATCCCAGCTACTCAGGTGGCTAAGGCAGGAGAATCACTTGAACTTGAGGTTTCAGTGAGCTGAGATCGTGCCCCTGCACTCCAGCCTGGGCAACAGAGTGAGACTCTGTCAACAAAAAAAAAAAAAAAAAAAAAAAAGAATATGGAAAACTTGAACAAGCTTAATTTAGTGGACACCCAAAAACTACAGACCACACATTGTTTTTAAGTTCACCTTGGACATTTACTAACACTCACCATGTCCTAGGCTGCAAAACAAGACTCAGCAAATAGCAAAAGAACTCACATCACACCAGCCGTGTTCTTGATGCAATAGAATAAAGGCATAAATTGGCAACCAAACTAAAACTAAGGGCTCCCCTATGTTTGGAAATTTAAAGATACACTACTGGCCAGACATGGTGCCTCACATCTATAATCCCAGAATTTCGGGAGGATCGCTTGAGCCCAGGAGTTCAAGACCAGCCTAGGCAACATAGTGAGACGCCCCCATCTCTATAAAAATAAATTAAATTATTTTTTAAATTAAAAAAATTAATGCACTGGTCTGAGAAGAATTATAATGAAAATCTAAAAGCATTTAGAACCGAACAATGAAAACTATGTACAAAAGCTTAAGCCATGTAACCCAAGCAGTACTATGAAGAAATTTTAAAAAAAGAAAAGAAAAAACGTGTGACCAGGCGCGGTGGCTCACGCCTCTAATCCCAGCACCTTGGGAGGCCAAGGTGAGTGGATCACCTGAGGTCAGGAATTCGAGACCATCCTGGTCAACATGATGAAACCCCGTCTCTACTAAAAATACAAAAATTAGCTGGGCGTAGTGGCGGGCACCTGTAATCCCAGCTACCTGGGAGGCTGAGGCAGGAGAATCACTTGAAACTGGAAGGCAGAGGTTGCAATGAGCCAAGATCCTACTGCTGCACTCCAGCCTGGGCGACAAGAGCAAAACTCCATCTCAAAAAAAAAAAAAGTAAAAAATAGAAATAATATTATGAACTACAGAGTGATCTCCCTCCAGACACCACTGGGAGCTGAAACACCAGGGGCACCTGGGGACGAAAGACATGAGTGGGAACAACTTCAGCCCTTGCTTCTCCTCCAAACGCCACTAAAAGGAATGCAAAGGGATTGCAGATGTAAAAGGGAAGAGTTCACAGCAGAGAGTGAGAGGAGTGCCTGCCAGGAACATCACAGAAGCTGGAAAACAAGTTGGGGAGTGATAACTGATTCAAGGGATCAGAGTGAACTTGGAAAAAAGTGATGGGAAGCACCAAGGGCACGTGCCCACAGAGGAAAGGCCACGTGAGGCCACCACCCAGAAGAGAGGCCTTGGAAGAAACCCACCCTGCTGGCACCATGATCCTGGGCTTCCAGCCTGCAGGACTGTCAGACCATTACAGTGTTGGACCGACACTGTAAAGAAAGAAGTAGTGATAGCAGGCATGCTTGTCTCGCTCCAGTTCTAAAAGGGGGAAGGATGCCAGGTGCGATGGTCTCCACAAGGCCCTTCCATGTTTCTCTGTGGCACCTGCAGTGCCTGGATGTCAGCACTGGGAGAAACCACCTCCAGATTCATCTGTAAAATCCAAGCATCAGTGAGCTCAACTCTCCCGCTTTCTCAGCTCTCTGTTTCCATTGGATTTGGTTGAACTGGGCCAGGGCCAGCATCAGAGGCAAACCCAAAGCTGCTCTCTGCGGACTGACTTCTTCTCCCTTCTCTTACGTGTTTGCCATGTCCGCTAGCCTGTGAGCTTCAGGAGACA